CCAGCACCAGCACCGGCACCCAGCACCAGCAACCTGTCTCGAAAGCGCGCACGGGCAACTCACTATTATTTGAAGTAAGAACCCCATAGCTTCGCTATCTGGGGAAAAAGGATTTCGAATCTGAAAAGTGGCTCCAGCAGACAGATCGGGTCCACCATTTGCTCTTACTCGTTTCAACCAATTTGCTCTTTTTATGCTTTTAGCAGCCCTGTGTCTATACATCGCCAGCCTGTCATTCTCTACTGATCAGCAACTCACCAGCAACTCAAATGACTCGCACCAACTCAGCTCACTCACATGAGCACTCACACTCAGCGTCAACTTTCACACCCACGCACTCACACCAGTTCAACTCACTCTCACTCTCACTCTCACTCACTCATCTGCTATTACGCCTCTTCCTTCTGCTTTTGCCGGTCAACAATACACAAGCTTCACGATTAAAACCAATGCGAAATGCTCAGTCCCTTTCGTAAAGCTAGCCTGATGGGGTGAGGCATGCGGCAACAGGAATTCTCCAAATGCTGGCGCCAAAAACGATCCTTCTGAAACTGACCGGTTGCCGCCAGTGGCCTTCAAACAAATCCAAGCTCAAGAAGACATCTATCACTGGAACCCTTTCATCGCTGCACGACCACCGTGTAAGAGCGTCCCGCTTAACCCGCTCCACGCACGTCCCGCTCGAGGTCTCTGGCATGACGCCCGGCGGCATGTCCTCGACAGAAAGGTTGCGGGATGGAATCTCTGGAAATCCCACATGGTTCTTGCTACACTGGGTACGACCGAATCTTGTTCAGGTCCTTCTCCTAAGATGACAGCAAAAGAACTCCAATTCCAATCCCAAACAGCTGCACTTTCATGGAGGAGCTGCTATTGGACGGCCTGTCCTGTATTTTTCTTGGACCGACTGTCCTTGAATGGGATTGGGGAAACGGTCCTTCAAAGGTCACACCATGGCAACCCGGTGAAGCTGAACGTCTCCCTTGAAACACCGCAGAGCTTCAGAACGCGGGATCGGTGGGAACGCAGAAGACCATCACCCCCCAAGGAGTCGGGACGAAGCTGGAATGAAGTGCCCCGAAACTTAAAGTCTTTTCACCAGAATAAACGGGCTAAACCCGAAGGAAAATGTATAGCTTGAAGGAGCTTCCTCACGTCTCATGGAGAGGTCCTGACCATCGAATCAAAACTATGCCAGCACGTGAAGCTGAACCTGGCAAACATGAACCCCCGGGTTCTATTCATTATACTCCAAGCAGTTCAATGGAATCCATGACCGGTGACCAAGACACCACTTGACTTCCTCGGCTCACCCACCCAGATTGACCCTCCAACCTCGTGAATCGCTGCGAATCGCCCTCCCTTTTGAGATCTGAACAGCTGCGATCGAGCTTTGGGAACCACAGCTTTGCGACCATGGTAGGAGGACGCGGAGTTCAAACCGGGGAGTTGGGGAGTCCGGGTGAATGTTTGGGCAGCAGGGGGTGAAGACCTCGTTGTGGGGACCTGGGGTGCCCGGAAAGAGGTGAAGGAACTCTTCACCAGAGCCAGGTCTTCCTCGCTCGGTGATAGGCGTGCGCAGGAGGGTTGTAGATGTCTAGGAGTCTGACTCACCAGAGATCCAGAGAGCACACATCTGAGGGCACAGTCAGCACCTGGGTGGAGTCACACCTGCCACAAAATCTGCACTTCAAGGCTCACCAAATGCTGTGCCCGCCACGAAATCTGTACTTCGAAGTTCACCAAGTGCTGCCCCTGCCACGAAATATGCACTTCGAGGTTCACCAACTGCTGCGCCTGCCACGAAATCTGTACTTCGAGGTTCACCAAGTGCTGCGCCTGCCACGAAATCTGCGCTTCGAGGTTCACCAAGCGCTGCGCCTGTCACGAAATCTGCACTTCGAGGTTCACCAAGCGCTGCACCTGCCACAACATCTGCACATCGAGGGTCACAGAGTGCTGTGCCTGCCACGAAATCTGCACTTCGAAGTTCACAAAGTGCTGCACCTGCCACGAAATCTGCACTTCGAAGTTCACAAAGTGCTGCACCTGCCACGAAATCTGCAAACGAGCCACATGTCCAAAAGTCACGATTCCCTACACCTGTCACGAAATCTGAGCTCCTGGACGATCACCGCCATGTCCAAAGTGCTGCACACGCCACGAAAACTGCATTTCGAAGTAAAACAGCTCCGATCCCTTGCACCTGTCACGAAAAGTCGACTTTGGAGCACCAAAACACGAGATTTCCCTTGCGCCTGCCACGAAAAGAGACCATCATATGCGAAAATGCGCACGGCACCACAACGAGAGCGCGGTCGCTAGAAGCACCCGCTGCCGGCAGGCAGATTTTGCGAGCCTGCGCGGTCGAAATGCACTTGTAGGATTTCGAAAGGCATGAATGTACTGTAAATAGCAACGGATTAGCCGTTCACGTCCGCGCGCTTCAGCGATCTAAGCATTGGCTGCTTTTCACTTACCGTAAGAACCCCTCAGTGTGCCCACACTGTTTGGGAAACAAAAGGATCTACCCATGGTCCCGGAAAGATTTCAGCTTTAATCTGAGGAGGAACCATGGTCCCATGGTTCCAGTGAAGCTTAGTAATTAAATCCCCCTTTTGGTCAAAGCAAGCCGCCCCGCCATTGACAGAAGTAACCATCCTCCCATCCTCGCCTGTGGTGCGCCCTGTGGCGTGGGAGGGCAGCCGCATCTCTGCCTTGCCTGAGTTAGGAGGTCGTGGACAGGATCTTGATTTTTTGGATGAGCTGTCTGAAGGGTAACGTAGTATCTTAATCTCTTCCTCATTGAGCTCCTGTGCCATGTCTGCCTGGGTTCAATCAAGTACCTCTGTCTCTCCCCTCGGGCAGCGGCTCCAAGAAGATGCCTTGCCTGGTTCAATGGATATTTTCAAATACCTACACACAGCCAAGCTTGTGCACCATTTTAGCAATCTGAATGTGGTAGGTGGAGGTTCACAAGCAGTTTTACTTGCTGCAGCAGTAAGTTACTGTACCTGAAATTCAAGATGATATGTTCAAAAAGAAACGTCAAAATTTACCACACTCCCAGAGCCGGTCTAAGGAAAATTAGCCCAGCTGGAGACCCCAATAGCAAGATACAAACCGGGA